ACAACGAGTGAGGTTTCTCCAGACGCGAGCAAAGAACTTCCTGCCCAGGTACCAGGGGGAGCTTAGCCGATTGGCGTTTTGAAGCCCTTCGAGAAGTCTCTCGACAGTGGACGGCGGGAATCGAGTTTTCAATAATAATGTTCAATTGTCCATCGATTCCGAAGATTTCTCTCTTTCGAAAAGGATTCGAAGTATCTGCGGCTTGTTGATTCGCTTCCGTGAACCTTGGGACTGAGCTTGTCACAACCGGGCAGAGGAAAAGGTGGACAGGGGCCAAGAATGCAAGAAAATAAGGAAGAGGCAAGATTAGACGCCGATTAAACTTCAAGGGCCGAGCGTAGAAAGCCTACTGGCAAGGCCTCGATTACGATGCTCCATCCCACCGAACAGGGACCATACGAAGTCCCTGTCGGAGTCCTGATGAGTGTCTGGATAGGGGTCACCGGAAGCCTTAGGAAAGGTTTCGATCCCCGGGGGCACCGATGAGATGCGAACCTATTGATGCATGTGCTCAGCCCGCCGACCCATCCAGCATATTTCGGTTCGAATTCATTGATGATCAGCGGTAGAAAAACCTTATCTCCGACCTCGGATGGGGTGGGGGAGCCTTGCGCCTGAGTCTCGTTGAAGAACACGATTAATCTCGTTTCTCTTGACGACCCCCGCTGCGAGGGTCACTCAAATTGATCTCGTTCGGTCACATTCCTGGTGAGCGAGAAGGCAGGTTCTGGGTGGTAATTTGAGACTGGACATTCTTCGAAGCATCCCCGACTCGCGAGGGCTCTCAGTTGGCTTGAGCCTTGGTCGAGAGTAAACGTCTGTCGTCGGAGAAGCTCCGGAAAGATTCCAAATGCGGGCTGCGGTTCGAGTATCGCATTCTGCGAAAGAGTATTCGAATATTGAGGGCAGAGCTCGCCCATTCTTTTTCGATATTTATACTTGCGATGTCAGAGAGATGATCCGGAGCATCGCTTCCCTAATAGGACACCGAGGTCCACTTTTGGGGCATGAGAGAGTTTTTGAACCGCGTCGAGGACTTGCAGCTCAGTTCCCTAGGGCAGAATTCTCGACTCGATCACTTTTGCGGGTTGATATGGGTGGAAGAAGACATGTGGATGCTTTGAGAATGCTTGCTCCTCAAGGAAGAAACTCATCAAGTATATCTTCTCGACGGAGAGTCGGGAGCATTCCGTGAAGGGGAAACGTGCGATCAGCACATTGTTGCGCCTCATCTAGCTCCTATCTAGCTTCCCAACTGTTGCGTCTGTCCATGTCGAATCGGGAAAAATCATTTCTTTTTTTCGGACGATCGGCCCTTCAACCCCGGGAGACGCTCCAACTCAATCCACGATCCGACTCGCAATCGAGATCGGAAGACTAGTGCAGGACAGCGATGACCTCGGGTCCCGCAAAACGGGATCGGACGATGCTCCTCAGTGGAATATTGTTGTGAACTTCTTAGGCACCCCTAGAAATTACGACAGCCTGATCCACATCTGACATGCCGACAGAAGTTCGCAGAATGGGATTACATCACGAGGCTAGAGCAAGAGCTCGGGCTGAAGGGCTCAGAAGGCTGTAGCACCCTGCCGAATCATTACTCCGCAATGCTCTCGTTTGGGAGCGGCTCGCAATATTATGTCTCAACACCATGCGCGAATCCCAACCCGCCCCACTCCAATAGAAATCCTGCGGACGCTGTTGGACACAAAATATATCATTCGCGACGCGACGTTGAGGCTTGGAGCGTCAGCCATGATTCGCTATCATATACAAGGAGATTGGGATCTCTTCTCCGAGAAGTAGGCCGATTCACTGGGGATCGCGGTCAGTTGTCCTGGGGCAACCATTCTGGGAAATATTTACGCATTCTGAGATATGGCGACCCGAATATCACCACATCGTCTGCCGAAAGTCATCTCAGGAAGAGCGAATTTCTTGTGTACTCTCGTCGGTCTCCATCGTTCTACGGCTTCGCACGGGCGACGACTCCTCCTTTTGCGCTCCTCGGTTTCGGGGGACTGAGCATGAGAGTGAAAACTCGGAGATTGCTGCCTGGACATCCCCCGGACAGAGCGCTCAGATCGATATCGAAAAATTCCTATCGCGACCAACACTCACCGTCTACCCCGAGAGAATTTTCATTAACTGATGCGAGTTCGTGGACGATTTTCGATGAGCCCGAACGCCCCAGACGAGCTGCACTCACATGGCCGACGTATCGCTTTCGAGACCATTTCTGCGATTGAGGTTCCGAAGGAATCTCGGCGGAAAGCTTCGTGGTGGAGCGACGCTTGCGCCCCAAGTCTCGCCAGAGAAACGAACACGGTCGACGTCGGCGTGATGAATATACGATTCCGGATTCCATTGATTTTTGCGTCTCGTTATCTATCAGGCGTCGTCAGTTGGAGCCGTGAGAGATCCCCATTCATGTCATCGTTTCTGATTGTTCCCGCATTTTTACGCAGCTGGGATCATCCGGAAGACTTCGATATCCAGATAAGCACGTGAGTTCACGCCGATCTCAGGTCACCCGACGAAGCACTCTTCAGCTTGTCGGAATGCGGAGTTCAGGCGTTAGAATAGGGACTGAGTCCGCTGCTGCCCTTAACCCTGGGGAACAATTCATTCCCGGTGGGATTTGTGTTCGTCTACAGAGTGGAATAGGGTACGAGTTTCCACACCTCAGATGAGAGATTCCGACCCTGACTTCCAGGAGCGGAACTTCTCCACGTCGGGAAGCGATGGTGTCGTAGTTTCGTATTTTATAGCACCGTGCCGACTGTAGCGACATCGAGTTACTGTTCTTCCGACCGAACGCCGGCGCCGTCGATTGTGATCCTGATGCTGTCACGTGGGAGTCTCGAGAGCCAGTAAAACTGGGCAGGAGTCGTCCCATTAGGACATTATTCGTTACTGAAGGACCGTACAGAGAACTTTGCTCAATGGAATCAATCTTATGCAAGGTAGCTTCCCTGCAATAAACTCGCTTGCTGCACAGTTGGGCATGCATTTCTCGAGCGTCGCAAATCTTTCCCGCTCGATTTCATTCGTGAAGTCAGCATCCATCGTGCCGCGCTCATTTGTCGTCGAGCTTCACGCTCCACCTCGGTGCGCCGACAGACATTGGGAAGCGCATTGCTAGCCGAAAACGCTTTCTGAACGTCTCAAAACTTTAATATTGGAGTTTTAGAATCTCGCGTCCAACTATTGTCTTCTCTGCGCTCGTACCCTGCAGATAAGTGCGGGGTGGTCGTGGACCGAGAGATATCCCTGCGCGGTATTAGATTCTCAGTCTGTGAGGGAACTGCTTCTGTCGACGAGAGGAACCTTCTGTTTCCTGTCGTCTCGTCCTTTCGGCCCGCCGATTAGCTGGTCGCGCCCCTAGGAGCTTCACGAGCATATAATTCAACTTTCAATACAGTAAGAACGGACCAGCGAGCTCTATTTCGGGAGCGAGCTCCATGGGATGCGAGACAATATTTCTCGCAATGATGATTCCCGGTGATTTTTTTTTGTGAATGGCCGAAAGACCTCGCAGTCATATATCCCTACGGAGCCAGCAGTTCACTTACCAGCTCAAGTGTAAACCTTGCTCATTTCGTTCATTTTACGAATCAAGCGGCGCAGCCGAACCTGAAGTCCTTAGTTCCTGCGAGCATCCGGGCAAAACGCTTGCGGGCGGTACTTCACCCCGGAAGCTTGGCTGGCTGGGCTTCGCGGAACCGAAGCTCATGCAGGCGCGTCCTCCATCGAGAGCACCAGAATTAGCTTAGGGCCCAGGCCGAGGGTCAGGAGAGCAGTGAGAGTAGATGCGGATCGGAGAATTTGCAAGTCGTTTCCCTCCGCGTGCTCGGTGAAACAGCGACGAGATTCCTAATGGAATCGAGGTTTTCCTGGCGTTCAAACTCTTTTAATTATTGCAGCCTGTACGACGAAACTCGGGTCGCATCGAACCAATCGGTTCCAGTCTCCTCCGTGTCACATAGATTGTTTCTGCCGTCACCGGGCCGCTAATCCGCGGATATTCATCTCCTGATACCCCGACTATTTCTATTGAAACCACTCGTCTTACTGTCCGAGACTTTCGTAGTTCCTCGGTAGCTTAAGCTGAAGACTCAATCGAGGGTAGTGCCTCTGAGTACAGAGCTCAGGAATCTTCGTCGATGCATAAGCCGAAACGAGGCTCTCCGCTGCGAGAGAAGGTCCCGATTTTTTTCCGCTCACGGACTCTCTAAGGCTCTAAGGAGCATGCTCTCCAATTCTATGATACATGCGATACCCCGTACTCTTACCACCTGATAGGCTCGTGAGAAGACTCTCAGGCATAATTTGAAAGACGGAGACTCAGACTTGAGTAAGCTCACTCTCAGAATGAGCTCCAGATTTTGCGTTCATCTGTTCTCTTTCCCCGTGGTAAGCCATATCGTATGATATATTGAAACTTCCTAATCGTTCTCGGAGCCCCGAAAGGATTTGCGTGTCCGAAATCTCCGGGAGCTGTTGCTCACAGTCTCTTGGTGGCATTTCCCGCGCATGGTCATCGTCTCCAAGAGGAGGAACGAAAAACTTGGCAAACCGGATTCGAGCGCCCACGAAACCAGACATATTAGACTGCGGGACTATTGTTGGGGATAGACTCCTCTATCTCAGGCAGTGTGTCGAAGTGATGCAGACGACTGAGACTCTGCAGAAACGTTCTCGGAAGAGCTTTTCCCTTGGCTGAATGATTCCGGATTGAGAGATGAACAGAATATTCTGTGAATACCCTCAGCTATTTTCTGATAAAGCAGGGGATCAGATAGTCTAAAGCTCAATGTACCCCGAGGTACCCCCATCGATCGGGAGAGTCCGGATCGAGCGTATGATGGTCCGAAAGGCCATTGCCACCATGAAGCGAGATCCACTCCAATAAGTTCTCCTTTGACTGCCTCGAACCGTACCCACTGGGGGCAGCAGATAAACTCAGGAATGAGATGGAGTGGATGAAGTCTATCGATATGGACGTTTTGTTTGAGTCTCGCGTGTTAGAAGTTAGGTACCAGCGGATTTCACAGCATCACATGGCACGAGTTTCGTATGATTCATGTAACTTTTCGCCTCACAGGAAATATGGCACTGTTGCGGACCTCGATAAACTCGACAACACCCTCAAATCTTACGATCGTCGAGCATTACCCTCCGGATATAACAATCGTGAGTATTCTCGTCCTGTACAGGTGTCCAGAACTACATCGACGCGGATCCTCTTCGTCACGAGGGGAAATCTCAGTTTCAGGCGGCCCGACGAACGTGTCATGTGAAGTTTACATCCGAAGCTTCGGATCAATCAACCCAGCCACAATGGTCAGTGAGTCCCCCTCAGTTTGTCAGGATTTCAACGAGACCGAGTCATTCGCAGAGCTCTGAGCGTATCCGAGGCTGACGGCGTTTTTCACAAATGTCGTAGTCGCACGGAATGTCGAGCTCCGAGAATTCTGTCGGCAGAGAAGCGGACCAAAAACTCTCCCAGGCGCCGGCTCTGCGAGACTGAAGAGAGCTGGAGGAGACGATGAGGCGCGGTGCTCGCAAATTTCGTTAGCACAAGATGAAACAGCGCTCTTACTTGTAACTTACGAACAGCAAGGAAACAACGTCAACGCTGTCCTTAACGCCGCACAGAGACACAAAAGAGCGCGACAAGAACCGATGACTACATCGGCACATGACTTGCAGCAGGAAAGGCAGAATACGCGTTGCCGTGCGTTTCTCGCATCCGTTATTTCCTTTACTGATGTCGTCCTGCAGCAAAACACATGTGTTCTATCAAATGCGATGTTTAATGCTTTGAGGCCCGCGTCAAAGGGGAGATACGGGAACGAGCATCATAAATTTCCACAATCATTTGCGCTTCGAGTTACCAACGAGGTGGTCTGACGTCGTCTGAAGGGCGAATTGAAATTCGATACCTTCCCCGCTGACTTATCGAAAAATCGATTCATAACTAGCACCTGCAGGAGGCGTCTCGGTCTGGAAATCTGAGCTCATCGGAATCTAGGAGGAAGATGTTAATTTTGCGCTCAGTCGGATTTTGTTGTCACGGTGGAGCTCAGGACGGTCATCAAAACCCACGCTAGAAAGTTCCTCAACGTTTCTCAAGTATCTCAACGTATCTCTCAGAATCTGCAAGAAACGAGCGCATGGGGAGTTTCCCTGCCGTCTCCGAAGTAGGTCCGGTTCACAGGAACTTATGCACAAGTTCAGCCAAATTCACGGAACTCCGTCAGGAGGGGGACGCCTTCTGACGGCGGGGCCGGCGGCGTAATCTAGAGCGCGGAAAGATATTCTCGATGGAACGTCATCCCGTGAATATCTATGCAAAGGAGAACGAAAAATGTGGTGTAGGTACAGGCCACGCCAGGCTAGCCAGATTTCCCAGGCGGCCGTGTCGGACTCCCCACCAAATTAAATAGGAATGACTTATGGGCTTCCACCAGTGGAAAGTAGAATTCATTCTTGTCGCGAGAGGGCGGACGCGTGATTCAGACATCGGATGGGGGAACACTGCGTCTTCTACGCACGGAGTCTCCTGAGATATTTGAACGTTTGAGGGCGTCGCTTCTCGCATGGCCGCCTATTACGCAATCGAGGAAAACTTCAGGCCGATTGATTTTTTCTCGGACGCCTTCATCCGCGAAGATAACTTATAGAGTTCCTCGCTCGCTGAATGCTTGAAGGTGCATACAGGCTGGAGAGGAGGTTCTCAAGCGGATCCTCCATCGAACCGGTCGCTCTGCGGCTCCGAATTCTAGACATACTTCGGCTTCTCGTAGCTCCGTCAAACCATTAGAGATGAAAGGGTCGCTTTCGCATTGTGTTCTTTTTCGTCCAACAGTATTCATACACTGTGAGGGAATTCGTTTTGAATATGCAGATAGAACGCGTTCGGGCGAGAGAGAAGAATGTTCACCTCTCCCTCCGCTCCTCAGACCGGAACTTCGCTCCAAAAAGAATGCAAAGTAGCTCCCCATGAGCTAACGAGAACCCCGAATCGAGCGAGTGATGTCTCGAAAGAGTCCGGAGCGAGGTCTAATAGAATCGGATGAGCTGAATCCGATTTTGCTCGGAGAGGTGAATAGCCGAAAGTCAGAGAATCGTTGAAACTCAATCGCCTGTTGAGGATCCAATAGTTTGCGTCCTCTCATACGCCTTATCGAGAGACCTCGTTTCCATTCGCAGTTTGTGAGAAGAGTCAGTCTGCTGCTCAAACGGATAGAGAAAGAGAATTCAATTTGTCTGAAGAATCGCATCGGAGGTCTCTTCGCTCGGTATCGTGTCCTGTTGAATTTCTCCGTTGAACAAAACGCAAAAACTGCTCGCAGGATCAAGGACGTCCATCCTAGGCAGAGAAAATCAAGCAGATAATGCTCGGGAAGACACCATTGATGATGACGGCGACGACACGGGTATCAAACTCGAGAAAATGGCGTGATGACTAACATAAAAGTCCTCCGGTGATTGATCTGCGCTCTCGTGATGAGGGGTCGTTATGTCGGAACAGGCAGCTCCCAGCATTGTGTCGCAGTCGCGGACAACGAGTCTGGAGCTGATCACACTCACTGGTTATGACATCCAGAGTTACGAGCCCTCGACTCTGGTCATGTCTGGCTGTTCAGGCATCAACTGGTCCGCATTTCGCAAGTTATCATTAGGCGATCGACGTATCCATACGGCTTAGTCTTCGCTGAACTCCTTCGGAAAACTTTTCCGTTGCGCTCCCGATGTAGCATGCTTCGGCTCATAGACAATATACCATTTCTTATTTGAGCTCGGATCCCACGTCATCAGTGCTCTTTACAGCGTTTGTTCTTGGTGTGCTACTTGTGGGCAGGAGCGAGTTTCGACAGCTTGCGCCGATCTCCCTTGAAGAGATCATCCTTTGAGCCCCCTGGGATACCGCGAACAGACCCATCGGCGAAACGAGGCGAAGCGATGGGATCCCGAGGAAAACTCGCAACGACCACCAAAGGGAATTTCGTGCTCTTTCAAAAGCGACAGAAGCTAATTGTCTCCTCTTGCGATATAATTCCGTGGACTACACGCTGCCATAGAGAATGAGATATTTGCAGATGCTTTTCTAACCAATTAGGCTCCACCTATGTACGTCATCTAGCGGTTTTAGGACAGGGATTCCGCGGTTCAGATTCCGCCTCGCAAACTTCCCCCCAGCCAGGCCCCATTGGGGGTTCTTCCACTCCCTCCGTGTGCTTCATACGGTAACAAGTGAGGATTCCTGAGTACCGAGGCTCACGAACCGTGTCTTGTTCGGACGCATTCCCAGAGCTCCGTGAGAATTCCTATGAGGTATCATAGCTCACACACCCACGTCACTGCTCAAACTTCCTCAGGAAGCCTTTGGGCGGGTGATTTTTCCATTTCAGTATCGGCTGTCGAGGAAAGATAGCTCTTGGCGGGGCACCAATGCCAGAAATTGATTTATTCGGAGACTTGCGCCTTTGATCCTGGCTGGGAGTCAGTCGTAGTCATGAGGCCTGCCGCGGAGCAATGGAAATGTTTCCGCACAAGCTTGGGGCACGCTGCGAGATATACAGTAGATGGGGAGCTCGGAGCCCGGAGCCATCGGAACACTCTCGCAGGAGCCGTGTTTGTATTTTGATTCAATCGATCAATTCTGGTACATACGGTTTCCTGAATGAATCCAATTTGCTCGATCAATGCGGGCTTCATCCTGACTTTGTTCCTCTGATATTTGATTCCTCTGAGACTGCAGTCTGATACCTCACTTCCGAAATTCGTTGGGACTGTCTTCTTCTTTACTGTCTATCAGCCGAGACTAGTGTTAAGGGAATTTCTGCAGAGGACTCGGCTTCCGTATACAGAGAGGCCATTTTTGGTCGGGACTTTTTTTGCCCCCCTTCCCTTAGTCTCGGGTCTGTCTCTGGAACGGCTGGATTAAACCATGTGAAATAACCCACCAATCAAGAGCTCTCGCTGAGACTCGCGCAATTTCGTTCCCAGCGGGATCGATCTCGGCCGACTTCACCTGTGCCGTGCAAAAAAATTGAGGTCTCCGTGTCCCTGGGAAAACAACGAAAGGGGTAAACTTGGGGTTGACAATCGGGCACTAAATCTTCGGTCCCTCGTGAAACCGTGTCGATAACTCCGCACGAAGCCGATGGCGAACACTGCTCAAAATGAGCCAATTCACCCGATTCAGAGGTTGGCAGCTCGATCGGACGACTTTTTTCTTCCCCTGAATATCCCCCATCGGAGCTCACCCCTTTGAATACGGAACACCCCCCAGAAGCGCCGATACCGCGTTCGAGCAATTCCGACGGGGGATGTTCGAGGGAAGAAAGAAGTCCTCAGATCGAGCTGCCAACCTCTGTTTCGGGTAAATTGGCTCATTGTGAGCATTTTCCGCTAAAAATTTTCGAATTCGGCCTCGTTGCGGAGTTATCGACAGGGTCTCGCGAGGGACCGAATATTTGGTAAATTTGCCCAGTTTTCAACCCAAAGTTCACTCCTTTCGTATTTTTCCCGGGAACGTGGGACCTCAATTTTCTTTTCAAGACATGCCTCCGCCAGGATGTGCCCGATTTGTCCAGCGGTTCCCTAGCTAGAAGCGTTTTCGTGGAGCAACGAGAAAAAAAGTGACCGATGATTCCCAAAACGCCCCCAACAGGTGAATTCGGCCGAAGTCAGAATTGTGGACAGAATTGTGCTAGTCAGAGCGAGAGCTGTTGATCGGTGGGTCATTTCATGTGGTTTTATCCAGCCGTTAGACTAGGGGGGGGAAAGTCCCGACCGAAAATATACTCCCTGTGGAGTAACGAGAGGGGAGATACTTTCCCGACGACTTCAATCCAGCCTCTTGCCTCCCTCGAGACTAGTCAGGAGTCCATTTTCCGGAGCTCGGCAACCCGGAGCTCGACCCACGGAAGCTTCACACGTACGGTTTGAAGCCAAGTGCCCATGGATAAGCGGGAGCAGGGACATTCGTGAGCTGAATCGACGTGAATCGCTGAATTGAGCGTATCCTTCACGTCTCTTTTGACGGGACTCGAACCGGAACCGCAAATACGGTTCCATGATATCGATATGCACCAGATGCGAGCCTGGAAGCTCGGGATAAGCTAAAACTTTCGTGATGTGGAAGGAAAGCTCTTGCGTCTGCAGAATAAGACACATACCTCGATCTCTCGGGACCTCCATCCAGAGATGCGGTCGCGCTTCCGCAGCGGCAATACGAGATCGAGAAGCGGTATTTATACCGATCATGGGCCGAATATAGGCTCCTCAGATCATTCGCTCGTCTTCAAAGCTTCATCCCGGAACCAAACCCGAGGGCTTGGAGGCGTGGAAGCGCCGCTCGCTATCGCGAATCAGCATCTCGGAATTTTGGACCTGTCCGAGGCTGGCGCAGGCGCTCTGGTCGGACTTTGAGAGGCTGCTCGGACCGGGAGCCACGCAGAGCTCAGACTTGTTCCAGCTCAGAGCTTCGACAATGTTGAACGAGTTATCTTAGATCCTAGATCAAGCAGGGATGGGCCTCTGGGGGAACTTTTCTGATGGCATGGAAGCGCAGTTTCTTGGAACAGCGAAGGAGGGCACAAGGGATATTCGACAAATTCGCAAGAGCTAGCGGGATGGACTTTCATGTCGATTCGGCAACGAACCGTTTCGGCGTCGGCGCAAAGACGGGCAATGAATATTCAATTGGGGACACTCAAATGTTGTGCATATCGGATGGTTCTGGAAATCCTAATTAACGCAGCGCGTTATCACCCGCCTCGTACTCATCGAATATCATTGAGTACGCGGAATCTCTACTTTGCGCATTGCGCTATGCATGAGGGGGTTTCTCATAGAGGAGATCTTTTCTGTTAGAGGTGGGCTGTCAAAGGTTTGAATCGATCGACCGGATACGATTGGGAAAGCGTAGCGAGCACACCGACGTAATCACTGGTGGAGCGGGGGACGATACCGGCTATCTGGTCGACCGAAATATGCCCCTCGGCGATATTTGATTGTAAATAACGCAGGTTTATCGAACCTCGGGAGCTATCCACGTATTCGAGCTACTCCGATCCCAGCGAGACTCTCAGCACCCTGACAGGAGACAGCCCCGATTCCCGAGGCCGATGGATCCATCGGAGTCATCAAGCATCTATATACATCTTCTTAAAAATGGAAGTCCACAGAAATCCCGTTGTGTCGTATGGACTCTATTAATATTGAACACATACTCTAGATATTTCAAGAGGACCTTCAAGAGTCTCCCTGGTACCTCCCCGGCACACGAGATCGACGATGCCGCTTCTAGATTTTACAAATTCAACGATTTTACGTGATTTTCCCTACTTCGTTGTTGTTGACGATGGATTTTTCCCTACTTCGTTGTTCCTGACGATGGATGATGATGCTCGATGGTGCTCATGAGTCACTACGAATACCTGATCTCGATTCTTTGGCTCCTTCGGAATGGGTGGAAGGGCTCCTTCAGAATGGGCGCTTCCTTCGTAACGTTCAAGCGTACCTACTCGACTTACGAGATCGTGATCTTTTGGTGCTCTCCGTCTCCGAGATGATTTCAAGCCGCTTCTAATTTATGCCTGATCAACTTAGTGAACTTTATTAGAGTGCAAGATTATTTTCAGGCTCCTTCGGAACGGGTGGAAGACAAGACGGCTTTCTGGAGCCCTCTTTGTGGGTGGGGAATCATTTTCTAGATTTTCAGAATAGTTTCCTCAGAGCGGGTTGGTAACCGTTATCAGTTATCAGGTGACCTCAGAGCAGGGGAAAATCTTTCTCAAGTTTTTTCAGAATAAGTTCCCTCAGAGCGGGGGGGCAACGGGTCCTGCATCGAACTTCCGCTTAGTAAGACATTTCCCTATACGGAAAAGCGGGAAACGGGAAAGTGGGTAAACGGGAAACGGGGAAACAGGAAAACGGGGAAGCGGGGAAACGGGAAAGCGGGGAAACGGGGAAGCGGGGAAACGGGAAAGCGGGGAAACGGGAAAGCGGGGAAACGGGAAAGCAGGGAACCGGGAAAGCGGGG